ACTATATATGTTAAGGTAGAGCCTTGAGATGGTGAATCTAACTCCATATGTGTTTTTATCAAATTAATAAATAAGATTAAGTTTCTGATCAAGCAATAATAATTGCAAATCCAAAAGAGTTGAAGAAAATATATAATAAAAACAGTAAAAGTCAAATACTGAATAAAAAAAAAATCTTGTAATAATAAAGGAATTGTTTTATAAATATCAATGTAAAAATCATATAAATATCAAATATTAGCTGCACAGTGTGTTATCATACAAAACTGGAAACAGGTTACCTAAAGATTTAAAGCCACCTATACAGCCCTTATCATAATTTGTATGTATGTATGTACGTATATATCATTTTTGAAAACCATATTCAAAAAAAGATAATCAATTATATACAGCATTAAATAAAACATTTCTTAAAGACTGTATATATGAAGCTTAAATAGGTATATATAAATCTTTTTTTTCAAATCTGCCCATTTTTATCATAAAATTTTAGTTTTATCTTTAAAGCAATAGAGCTTTTAACTATGTGTATTATATTTTAGAAAAAATAATATGATGTAGAGAATTGCATTAAATGGCTAGGATCCATGTACTCTCTCTCTTGAAAACATGACATATATTTTATTTATTTTATGCTTATAAAACACTTATAGAGAGTATGATCATATTTTAGAAAAAAATAATATAATGCAGGAATTCGCATTAAATAGTTTAGGATCCGTATACTCTCTCACTTGAAGCATGTTATATATTTTATTTATTTTATGCTTATAAAACACTTGTAGAGGATGTGATCATTAACTATTATTAACTATATAGCAAGAAGAGAAAGTCCTAATAAGCTTCCTGCGGTTTAATCTACTTAATCTACTGAGCTACAAGATATGAAATAGTTTAAAAGTATCCACCTCACTTTTTGTTATTATACTGTTAATTTTTTTTATCATTGATAATTATTTAATGATAAGTATTTTTTTTGTCTATTTTATATACAAATAACAGTTACTAATACTTTCTTCTTTTTTCAGGTAATTGTTAGGTAATTTGCAGTTATTATAATTTTGTGAGTTTTTTGCAGATAGTGAATTGTGTTATTCTTCTAGGTGGGTTGTATTATTAGTAATATTCTTGGTTTTCTATTTGTTGCTAGTAGATTTTGTTATTAATATTGTTGTTGCTTTTAGTAATATTTTGCTATTAGTGTTATTATTGCGAATAGTAAAATTTGATGTTGGTGTTGATGTTGTTTGTAATAGAATTTTATTTTTGATATTGATCTTAGAATTTTATCATTAATATTAATTGCTCATTTCGTGATTAAATAGGTTTTTTTTTTTTTTTTTTTAATATTTAAGATGAGGTCATGCCTTTGGTTTTTATTAACATATATTTAGATATATACTTACATATATGCTAACGTAGCACTACAAAGACTTAGACTAATTTATCTATGATCTAAACTTACTAGAGTGGTTCATGCCCTACATATATCTCAACTAGATTAACGCTTCTCAACTAACTATTTCTAATAATATCACATTCTTCCCACGTCTCATCTGACCAGTCATAACTTCCAATTTGGTATGTGGGTATCCGCTCCTAATGAGCTTCCGAGTTGGTATATCTGCAAGCACGATTTACTGCAATTTCCTTCTAAAATATTTTATTTATGCAATTGTAATTGGTGCAGATGGTTTAACAGCCTTGTATCTCAAGCCAGGAACTTGCTGCCTAGTTAGGTTCACCACATGACAGAGTTGGTATTCCATTGTTGAATTAATGACTTATCTTGGGTTTGCACCACCTCAACCGGTTTGCATCTCTTCATGTGCCATCTCTCTTCATGAATGCCCTAATCTCTCATTTATCTGCCCAGGTACTACTAATCCGTATCTCAAGCCAAGCCATGCTGCTGCCGTTAGTTTACCACCCCAGGACTTAACATTCTTTTTCTGATATAGTGGTACTAACTAATCCATTTGTATTTCCTCATATAGTGTATTACCAGAACCCTATTGCATAGTTGCTTTAATGACCTATCTTGTTAAAGACCAGCCTAACATCACAAAAGTCTTTAAGTGGCAAGCAATTATACTTCCAACCATAGGCCTTACATCATGTTACTAGGAGGCGTACCCCAATTCACTTTGACTTCCAACTTGACTCTTCATCATTAGTTGGTATTGCATTATTGTTGGTGCATTCTGGCTTCTTTCGTCAATGACTTCTATATAGGTATGACCAGAGCTCCGACTTGGTTCCTTTATATGTACTAGATTAGCTCGCCTGCCTCTATGAAATTACCTTCTTTAGCTAGTTGTTCCACGGTGCCAGAGGTGCTTCCTGTTTAGGTAAGGCCAATCCTTTACCACAGCCCTTTCACATATTCACTGCTTCTCTCACCATTCCAGTTTCAGTAGTATTGTATCACTCTCCCAAGCAAGTACCCAGCACCATTTCTAAATTAGGACTAATGCGCACGATCCATTGATCATCCTTCCAAGCAAGTATCCCACAAGTTGGATGCGAGAATGTTGGTGTTGCCTAATATAGAGGTAAAGAGATGTTGGTGTTGCCTCTAAGTCACCCTAACTAGAGGGCTAATATGCGCAATCTTCTACAGCTTAGACCTTCTGTGACACCGCTGTCACACATGATGCCTACACTCTATGATCAGGGCTCCTTCCGGGAATTCCTATTCCAAAACCGTACTTGCACTTGGACTTTTCACAGGGCTTCACATCCGATTATGGCTCTATTTTAAAGTTACAGTAACAAATTCGAAAATTTGTTACCAGCCCGACTCAAACTATCGACCTTATCTGTGGGGTTTGGGAGCTTAACCAATAAGCTACGGGGCCCAAACCCCTTCGATCAAATTTTTAAAGAATTTCTAAATATCTATTATATAGAAACTGTGCCAAAATTTTTAAACCAACTTTAATGAAGATATCTTGGCATCCATTTGATCAAATTCGATGAAAATTTTTTTATTCGAATTCTACAGATTTGTAGAATTCAAATAAAAAAAAATTTATCAAATTTGATCAAGTGGGTGCTAAGATATCTTTGATCAAAGTTGGTTTAAAAATTTTGGTGCAGTTTCTATGTAATAGGCATTTAGAACTTTTTTAAAACTTTAATTAAAGATATCTCGGCACCCATTTGATCTAATTCAATGAAAATTTTTTTATTCAAATTCTATGATCTTTAGAATTTAAATAAAAAAATTAGAAATCACAAGAAAAAAAAACTAGAAATTACAAAAAAAAAACTAAAATTCTATAATATTACAATGATATCATAACAATACATTAAGTGACAAAGGTTTTAAAATGATAGCATCATTAGTGTAGAGTTTTTGAAAAATGCATCAGCTAATGCTTTTCCTTCTTCTAATCCAAGATTATTATGTCTAAGATTCAACCAAAATGACAGACCTATAGCACAAAATCTCCACAAACTATAAAACTGACAAAAGCCAGAATCTCTATTCTCTATAAATGACAACACCAAAATGACGAAAGCACTAAAACTTCAGCACTGAATAATGAAAGCCAAAATCTTCATACTTCATAAATGACAGCACTAAAATAACAAAAGTCTCAAAACTTCAGCACTGAACAATGAAAATCAGAATCTCTATACTTCATAAACGACAGCACCAAAATGACAAAAGCTCCAAAACTTCAGTACTGAATAATGAAAGCCAGAATCTTAATATTCTATAAACAACAGTACCAAATTGCCAAAAACTGAAAACTATAGCACTAAATGATAAAAGCTTAGAATCTTCATACTTTTTAAATAACAGCACCAAATGACAAAAATCCAGAATCTCCATACTCTTTAAACAATAGTACCAAATGATGAAAGCACAGAACTATTCTAACTTTTATCTTCAATACTCAGTTTTCCACTAAAGCAAATCTACAAAAAAAAGAAAGTGTTAGTTCAAAGAAAGAAAAGCAAAAAAAAAGCTAAACAAAAAAAAAACATATTTTGCAAAGTCTAAGTTTTAATTTCCATTGTCTGGCCTTTCAGAAGACAAACTTACAGAAAGTAGTATTAGTTTAAAAGAAGAAAAAAAAAAACTACTTATCTTACAAAATCATAGTTTTAATTGCCAAATTACTATGATCCAAACATCCAATGGCTTCAACGACGACTCCAACAATGAAACTATATCTTAAAAAAAAAGAAACGAAGAAAAAAAAAGAGAAAAAGAAGAAAAAACAAAAGAAATAAAAAAAAAGAAATGAATTGAGAAAAAGAAAGAACAAAAAAAAAGAACTGAATAGAAAAAGAAATATAAAAAAAAATAAAAAGAACCAAAAATGAACAAAAAATCAAAAGAAAAAGAAACAAAAAAAAAAGAAATAAAAAAAAAACAAAATGAAATAAAAAGAAAAAGAAATGAAAAAAAAAAACAAAGAGAAAAAGAAGAAAAAAGACAAAAGAAAAAAGAAAGAAAAAAGACAAAAGAATAAAAAACAAAAAGAAATAAAATAAAAAGAAATAACGAAAAAAAAAGAACTGAATAGAAAAAGATATGAAAAAAAAAATAAAAATAAATAAAAATAAACAAGAAACAAAAAAGAAAAAAATGAAATAAAGAAAAAAAAAAAAATTATTAGTTTCAAAATAAAAGAAAAATAACTAAAATAAAAGAATTACTATTTGTATCCAGTGAGTATAATACTCGGTATAAGAAAAAAAATCAAAAATCCTTAATATCTCAAAATTTTACTAAAGTAACTATATGTAGATATCTTAAGTAAAATTGTTTAGCACCTAATTTTGCATATAACTACACATATTTCTAAATCTAACTCTAACCTTAATATATATTTAAGACTTTATAATTATTATACTGGGTATTATACTTTATGGGTAAAGATAGTAAATTTCAAAAAAAAATACAAACCTGTTCAAAACAAAGTAAAAAGCGAAACAAAAAATGAAACAAAAAACAAAGAGAAAGCAAAGCAAAAAGCGAAATGAAAAGCGAAGCAAAAAGTAAAGCAAAAGGTAAAGCAAAATGCAAGACAAAAAGCAAAGCAAAAAGCAAAGTGAAAAGCAAAACAAAGAGCAAAGCAAGACAAGCAAAAAGCAAAGCAAAAAGCAAAGCAAAAAGCAAAGCAAAAAATAAAGCAGAAAGCAAAACAAAAAGCAAAGCAAAGAGGTGAAGACAAAAAATAAAAAAAGAATATGATCTATGATTAAGATCGTTGGAGTTAAAAAAAAACAATATGATGATCTATATTTATCTATCTATTCAGATCTGGAAATGTGGAGTAAGACTATTTAACTTTGTATTGGCAATCAAAAAAACAGATTAACTGATTGGTTGATGCTGACCTATGAATTTCACAGCCTTTAATCATAGTAATTTTCTATTTAAAATATTTAAATAAAATTTGGTATAATAATATTTGTATTTTTTTGTAGTATTTATTTTAAAATTATAAGAAAAAAATTTAGATAACTGTATTTTCGCATAATAATATTCATAAGCGTTAATTAGAAAATCACATCTCCTTAAAATAATATACATGATTTCAAAATAACACCTATGCACGTCTCTAAATAATATGTATCTTTACATAAAATTATTACTTGCTCTCTCACTATAAAAATTACTATTCATTCTAAAGAATTTGATTTACTAATAATTACAATCAATTGATAGTTGATCTTCTGAGCTGATTAAATAATAATCAACAAGCTTATTGAACATTTCCAGATTACCAAATCTTTTTAGAATTGGTTGACTTATTTTGAATATAAAATACAAAAATTATTATTATATATATACTCTACTATATGCAGTATGTATATTAGATCATACTATGAACCTTTTTTTTAGCTTTTTAGTTAGTCTCTTATCTAGATTTACAAAATATTTTATGCTTCTTTTAGTTTTTACTTAATTTTTTACAAAATATATGAATTGATTTAAATAAGAATATTCAGATCTCCTTTAGTATAGGTGGGTATATATAAATTATTACAAGATTACAGTATAATACAGTATATAAAACTTAACTAATTTAAGCCAATTTAAACCCTAACCTTAACCCTGATCCTAATAATTTATAAATTATTTAAATTAGTTTAAAATAACTAAGTTATATATTTTATAATTGTATAATAATTATATATACCCACCTATACTAAAGATTAACTGAATATTCTTTATCAATAATTAGTATTTCACTGCTTATTATATCTAATTATTAGTTTGGACAGGATGCAATTTTTTAATAGTTATTGTATTTTAAATCTTTCATTAGATACAATTTATTCATATCAATTTAGTGATTTATATATTTTTCAAATTGCATTATACTCTTTATAAATTAATTGATAAAATCATAATGTGAAACTTTCATTTTATAACAAATAAAGAATTTTTTTATAGCTGCAAGACATTATCATACAAATCAAGAATGAAAAACTAAAAAAAAAGAAGTAATTATAAACTTGACAGCTAGATAAATTCATATAATTAATTTGCATCTAACCGATTATTCACTACTTCAACTGATTACTTTTTTATACTGATTTTTAGTATCAATATGTGATATATCCTGTTAAGTAATTAACTAAGTACACAATATTAGTAAATAAAGAAAAATATTAATTTTTATTTTTTTCAATAAAGTTAATGCCATTATATATACTGCTGCTATGCGAGTGAAAACATTAATTCTGGTAAAAGAAACTTGCTGCTGTATAATTGTTTATATATAATGCATATAAGCATTAATTAAAAAACTAGATTTATCAAAAAATCAAAACTTGTTTTAAAATAACACCTATATACGTACTCTAATTAATACACATATACTCCAAATAACATGCAGGTAGGTATTATTATATGAAAATACAGTACTTATAAACTAAAAATATGCAATTTTAAGTTATATTACAGAATCTTGATATTCAAAATCCCAACATACAAAATCTTAACAAACAAAATCCTAACAACAAAATCTCGACATTGCCAAAACTTAATAGTACTACTATTAGTATTTTGGTAGTATCAAAATTTTGATGTTGGGATTTTGTTTGTTTTAAAAATAATTTTTAATAAAAAAAATATTGTAGTTTATTTATAACAAACCTTTAAAATATTAATTTTAAGTCTATAGTTTCTAATATAACTTTATAGTTTGACTAAAGAATTATAATTTTTTTTTTATAAATTTTATAATTTACTTGTAAAAATTAATACTTGCTTTAAAAGCAAGATTTTTTCTAGCTTCGAGTATATATAAAGTTTAGAAAACTTAAAAAAAGTTTAATAATAAACTTAAAAATTATACAAACTTTGAACTTTAATTAATTAAAAGTTTTTTAATAAATTAAAAAATTTTCTTAATTAAGTTAATAAAATAGGTTGTTAAAATTATTTTTTACTTAAAAAGTATATTGTTAAAAGTAATATTTAAAATTTTATTAAAAATTTGAATTTATTTAAAATTAACTAGTTGTAAAATTCATCAGCATAAAAATTTTTAGGGTTAAGGTATGGTTTTAGGTTTTTGTTTTTTTATATTATATAATGTAGAGTAGATATAAGGTTCTGATTTAAGTTCTCATAAGGTTTTCAGAGGTCTTAAACATTTTTACTTAACTTACCTGACCTCTGTTTTATAGTGCAGTTTTTGAGATATAGCATTCTAGTAAATTTTACCTCCAGTAAGTATTAAAATACTCCTAAAAAATTTGAATTTTTAAAAATATAAGCAGGCAAATTTGCCTTCTATATTCAACATCCAAGCCAGAAAGGTTATTCTGGTAGTAATTAAATAAAAAAAAAACTGTAAATAGTAAGAAAAGAAGAATAAGAAACAACTTGTAAATACTTATTATAGCTAACCTTCATAAAACTTTTATATTCTCTCACCACTTTTTTTTTTCAAAATTTTTGACAAAAAGTAAGAAATTTAGTTATCTTTTTCAAAAGATTAGCAAGAGATTAGCATTGTTTACTACTTTTATTCTTAGAAAGTCTTGAGTTACAATATGACAAATAAGAAAAACAGCAAAACATATGTGAGAAGAAGTTTTAAGGCTAAAATTAAAACTGATGATCACATGTCAAGACTTTGAGATCGAATGTTCTAGGACCTGAGCTAGATTTTACATGAGAGTTGTAACTAGAACACTATATAAGATATACAATAATCTGAAGTCATATTCATATAATTTTTAGCTCTTGATACAAGTTAAAGTACACCTTAGTTTGTTTTTATGCAGACAGCTCTATGTATAAATTTCTATAATCATATAAATAGTTTTTTATCTGGTTAGTAAGTTTTTATATCTGTAGATAAGTTCTTTTAGATTTTAAGATAGTCTTTTAACTTCTTTATAATTTGGTCATTTTCTTTATATATTTGTTTTTTTGCTTACCTCTTTTTCATTCTATACTTACCTCAAATTTTTTTTTTACTTCTCTATAAGAAAGTGTTATCAGATTGACAGTACTCTATTACTATATAAAGTAGTAATTCTAATAAGGATGATGAAAACTATTTATTGATACTGGAGCTCAAATTCTTAGAAAGTTGAGAATCTCTGTAGAGGAAAATATTCACTTAGACAGGTTGCTTCTGGGTCATATTCTAGCGCTTAATCTTGGTTTGCTAGAATTTTGTTACAATAATAAGACAGATTAAGAGAATTTTTATTTGAATAGATATAAAACAGTTAATAACAGATAATGTAGATTTAGCTAACTGAAATATCTATTTGTAATCTGCTGTTTGTCAATTTATAAAATCAAGTAAGAATCACTGAAATAAAAATAATAATAATAATAATAATAATCTGCAATTATTAAGTAAATTTAATACAATTTAATTAGTAAAAACTCTAATTTGTAAATTTTAGATTTTTAGAGTGTGGTGACTTAGTGAAGTGGTGAAGTTGTCACACCTTCAAGTAGCAGGAACAGAGTTCGAATCCTACCGATAATGAAAATTTTGAATTTTCAGTATAGTGTTACAGCAAACTGTATGTAAACAGACAGATTGGTATCTGTAACTTTGGTCGCACCAGCTCGTACTGGGAGGCTGTGGAATATAGTGTGATATATGAGTTATACTAAACCCGAGTGAAGCAGTCATGTAAATCTGAGGTCAGCACACACGGAAGCCCACTTGGCAAGACCCGAGTAGAGAGGTAGCACAGATCTTTGACGGTACTATGTAAAAGATTATTAACCAAAAAACTGGAGAACTAAATGTGACCAAAGTGTTTAGCAAGGTACTCTACCAACCAGGCCACCAGAGAGTAACTAGAGGAAAAGGACCTAATCGTAGAGACCAAGGGCAGATCATAGCCATTCTGGGCTATCTGGATTGGAAGTTTGGGATGATGAGTATATAATGGATAGTCTGTATAGTGGGTGCTGGGGTCTGGGTGAACTCTATAAGGGTATAGTAGGTAACGGGTCCGTATTATTTCACCGACAATCACTTCACCGACAGCTCATTTAGCCGACATCACGCCAGGTGAAATTT